AAAAAAAAACAAAAAAAAAAAAAAAAAAAAAAGCCGTCAAAAGGCTCAGGATACGTTTTATGAGAAACCTAAGAACTGCCCCAAAGGTCAGATGGACAACCTCACTGTACAAAAATATTAATATAACAACATCTGGGTAAATTCTTAGTGATCCACATTCAAGATTAGCCAAGACCAAAGTTGTCTTAGATGTGGCTGAAATTAGTTTCTTGTATTTATCCATTAATTCTAAAATAGCAACTAGTTCAAGAAATTATAGAGAAGTCCAATTGCCTTTAATACTTACATACTGGTAGGACTATAACATAGTGTTTATGATTTATCTACTGTGCAACAAGCCCTATAAGGTGCTTGTACAAGGTACTTCTAAGCTTGACCATTAAGCATTTTTGTAGCTATAGTATAGTTCAAACTCAAGTAAAATTGGCTCTAAAGCCCCCTTTGACTTAAAATGTGTATACTTATGTAGCAAATGGTTCAGTACAATGATTAATTTCTGGTGGTTCCCTCTATGCGCTTTACAAATATCAACTTATCAAATTCTCGTGTCCACCTCCTTAGCAGGTGTCACGAGGACTTTCATGTCATTTGGCATTGATGAGGTTTGCACCAGAGAAATTAGGCACCTTCCTGGAAGCTACAAAGTTCTGCATGGTTTGTGTGGGATGTGGTGAAACTGTGTAATCTAGAGGGAATATTCTGGGATCCATGAACCTCCCACCACTATATGCTGCCTTTTAAATCCAATCATTTAATCAATTCACAGGAATCATTGGAGAACACTTTTTACATTCCAAATATTACCAGGTTAGGTAGGAGGCAGATGTCTTATGCAGCAGGAACAACCTGATTAGTGGAAACTAGGTGAAGATCTGCTACTCGGTGTCATCATCACACACCAAGGCAAAGGCCCCAGGAGAATCCTGACAAGCAGGTGACATTGTGGCTCTCAAAAGGAGGTTTTAAAATGCACTTCAGAGTCATGGAGTGGCCGTTTGTTCTACCATTCTGTGCACAGGGCCTCTGCTGCTGTTGGACTTCCTCACACTCCAGCCTTCCATAGACTCTACTTTTTTACTACAGTTAGGGAACAGGAATGCAGGCAAAACTGTTCATAGTGGATCACTCTAGAAGATGGGCTAAGTTATGGATCAGATCTGAGGTGTAAATGCCTGGAAGACCCAGTTCACTGGGAACATAAAGTATTGAGACAGTTGAGATGCTTCTGAATGTGATGGTTATTCACACCAATAAAAATTCTAATTCCCAAATTCATTCCAAATTTTTACACCTTACACTTTAATATTTAACTTAATAATACCCCCAGGCAGGGGAGTTTCCATTTTTTGAGTACCATATACTTAGTTTAAGTAGCACAGGCTGGAGAGCCTCTTTATCCATATTGCTCAGCGATTCAAAAATGATTGAATCCAGTCAGAGGACCTTGTGGCTTCACGAGCGCCATGAGGATTATGCTAGAAACCATGGTCTGAAAAGGGTATACATTTATTTTCACAGTAAATGGAATTTTTTTTACATAATCCCTAGTGAATAAAGTCAAATGTTAAAAGCTTTGGACTTTGGGGGGAAGCCCAGGGATGGAGGTTCTTTTCTGAATAGTTACATTTTGAGCTCTCCCCTCATTTTATAATCTTGCCTACGCCCTTTGCAGACTCTCTAGCCACCTGAGTCTTACCTGAGTTTCACTTTGCTTTCATAGGTATATGCCTCTCCTGTTGCCACTGCATTGGCAACAGGCGGTGGGGGTCCACAGGACAGGGGCTCACAGGCTGGATAAGGCTGGCTCCATGTCCCTTTCTCTGTACAAATCAGATTTGAACTACCTTGCATGATGTAGCCAGGTCTGCAGCTGTAAGTTACCATGTTGTCCTCTAAAGGGATACTCTTGCTGACGACTGCATTGGGTATGGTTGGCAGAGAACCACAGTCAACATGTTCGCAGAGTGGGAAGCCAGACCACTGGCCATCAGCATCACAGGTGATTTCAGAAAGTCCAAGGAGCTTGAAGCCTTTGAAGCATTCAATCTGGACTGTCTTCCCACAGCCCAGATCAGTTGCATTGATGATTCCATGTTGAATGATGGGTGTGGAACACCTGCAAGGTAGGCAGGAAGGCGAACTGCCGCTCCAGGAACCATTGGGGAGACATCTCCTTGAAGAGTTTCCATGGAGCTTATAACCAGGAAAACACTGATACTGGATGTGGCCCCCGTGATAAAAGGAAAAGCCATTAGGGAAGCCCTGGGGAAGATCCTCAGGAGGACCACAGGCAGCTTGTTTACAGATGGGAGCCTCTGCATCCCAAGTCCCATCTGACTGGCAGGTAAGTTTAGCTGCCCCGTGTAATACATAGCCCTCTAGACAATGGAATGATACTTCTTTCTTGAACCCATAGTCGAGGCCCTCTGCCACCCCATTTGCCACCTGTGGTGGGGCAGTACATCTGACAGGCATGCAGCTGGGAGTGGTTCCACTCCAGCTTCCATTGATAAGACAGACACGGCTCCTAGCTCCTTCAAGTATGAATCCCTCACTGCAAGAGTATGTGATCTCTTTTTGGAATGTGTATTCTTCTCCCTTCACTTGACCATTGTTCAGGACTGGGGGTGAGCCACAATCCACAGGAATACATGTGGGCTCGTGTCCATCCCAATCTTTATTTTCCTGGCATGTTCTCTTCGCAGTGCCATTGAGCACATAGCCAGGGTCACACTCATAGTGTAACACGCCCAGGTATGAGTAGTCACTTCCTTTGATGAGTCCATTCCTGAGTGGGTTTGGCTTGCTGCATGAAATGGCTTCACAGCGTGGTGCAGTACCACTCCACTTCTTATTCTGCAGACAGAGTCTTAAGTGGGAGCCTTCTAAAATGTGTCCTGGCTTGCAGCTATATTGTGCAGCACTGCCCATGGTAGTCTGTGTAAAGTGCAAAAAGCCATTTTCAGGAGCAACAGGCAAATCACATTCGATTGAAATGCAAGAGGGAGCACTCCCGTTCCACGTTCCGTCTTCCTGGCAGATCAGCACAGGGTTTCCCAGCAGTTCATAGCCAGGGTCACAGCTGTAGGAAACCATAGTGCCATATAGAAAGTGAGATGCATGTGAAGCAGGGGATTCCTTTGTATTTTCTAATGTTTTAGTTGTTGCTTCCAAATGTTGAGGGTGAGGAGTCAGATAAGGAACTTCCATCATGTCATCTTCTTGCTCAAAATATTCCTGGCCTTCTTTGACTTTAGTACAGTCTCCAAAGTCTATGTGAGGAGGGAGACCACAGTCTATGGGCACACATGTTGGGCTGGAGCTTGACCATCCTGACTCTTCACAGGTCTGCATGGCATGACCAACCACCTGAAACCCAGGGAAGCAGCTATAGATAATCATGGCACCATATCTGTAATCCGCACCTTCTACGAAACCATTCTCAATGGGTTGTGGGTCACTACAGTGGATGGCATTGCAAGAGGGGGCATCCATGTCCCAGTCACCTGTCTCTAAACAGGTCAGGGCTTTGGGGCCTTCAAGTCGGAAGCCTCGGTCACAGAAATATGTGACGGTTTGTCCATACTGAAAGCTTATGTAAGAGAATTGGCCATTTAAAATCTCTTTGGGCTCTGGGCATTCAACAGGTTTGCACATTGGTTTTCCTCCAAGCCACTGGCCATTTTCCCCACAGAGGGTGGTCGTATTGCCCACTAACTCGAAGCCTGGCTTGCAGGAGTAGAGTGTGGTGCTGAGATAGGCGAGCCCTTGCACGTGGATGATGCCGTTGAGAATCTCCTCAGGTTGGGGGCATTCTACTGGAACACATTCAGGCAATGGAGAACTCCAGGTGCCGTCAGACTGGCAGAGGATGGTTGGATCACCTCTTAAGAAAAACCCATCAACGCACGAATACTTGACAGTACTCCCAAAATGAAGAGCACCAGAAGAAGCAGGGAGGCCAAAGGGAATCAAGGGAGGAGAGTAACAAAGGACCATCTTACAAACAGGAAAGGAACCATTCCATTGCCCGGATGGCAAACACTTCAGGACAGAAGGGCCTTGCAAGGCATGCCCCTCTTTACAGGAAATGGTCATTATGCCTACCTCAGAAGTTAATTCCTTTAATACAAGCTGATTTTCCAAGATGGGAGGTTCTGGGCACTTTGTGGGGACACACTTTGGACTTGGCTTCTTACTCCATTTGCCAGATTTCTGGCAAGTCCAAGAATTATCACCAACAAGCTCATATCCCTCATTGCAGAAAAACTGAACTTTGGATCCCACATCAAAGCTTTCACCTTTCAAGAAGCCATTCTGGATGGGAGGGGGTTTTCCACAGTTGAGGGGGGTGCAGGACAGAGGGGCCTCACTGTGCCAGTGGCGGTTGGCTTGGCAGACAAACACAGGACTTCCAGCTGCCTTATAGCCTGGGTTGCACTGGAACCTCGCTTCACTCTCAAAGGTCCTGCCAGTGGTGTGCTGAACAACAGGGAGAGAAAAGTCAGTCCAGCTCACAGAACAAGCAAGCCAACAGGTGGAGTACATTGCTAGCCAAACAGAACTCACAGGCTCACACTTATAAGTAATCAGTTAGGACTTCCATGAGTAAAGGTTATGCTGCTTGCAACAGGCCTACCCTAAGTTTTGTAGGAAGTGAACATGCAGAAGTAAAAACGTGGAAAATCCAGTGAGGTCATTTCCTCTGTAGAAATTCTTATGGAACCCAAGGGGGATAAGATCGGGGGTCTATACAGATTGATGAGTTGAAGGGCAATACCAACAGGATACACAGAGAACTTGGTAAAGATAAAATAAAGAGTACCCATAGATGCTCTAAAAACTGTTTCACTTAAAATATTTTCTATTTAAAGACATAGTGCCCAGCACTATGAGCTGGGCAGCAGTGGCATATGACTTTAATAATCAGCACTGGGGAGGCAGAAGCAGGCAGATCTCTGTGAGTTCGAGGTCAGCCTGGTCTACAGATCGAGTAGGACAGGCTCCAAACCTATACAGAGAAACCCTGTCTCAAACCCCTGCCCCCAAATGGCACTATGGCCTTTGACTTGGAAGACTAGGCTGTCCTACCCCTCCTCTTCTCTTTTGGTGTATATGGACACATGAGTATAATGTCCAGGAGTCAACTTTCAGGTGTCATTTCTTAGATGCCATCCACCTTGATTTTATTCATTCATTCTTTGAGGTGGGCTTTAACTATTGCTTGGGAGGCAGGCCAGGTAGGCAAGACAGTGATCTCTGAAGACCCCATTTTTGTCTGGTCAGCACTGGGGTTACAGGTGTGTTTGTCAGGCAGGCCAGGCAGGCAAGCCAGTGAGCCCTGGAGACCCCCTGTCTCTACCTCACCAGCACTGGGGGGACTGGTGTGCAGCTCAGTGCCTGACTTTTCTTACCCTGGGGTTCAGAGATCAAGCTTACAACCTCCCTCTTGCACAGAACACAGCACATCCTGAGATACCATTACAGCCTCTGGTCTTGTTGGGAGCCAAATCTCAGGGCTTGGCATGAGATCCTAGGCCAAGCTTGGCAGGCCTCATAGTCAACCTTTACATAGCAGCTCCTTAGAACCTCAGCTCAAGAAAAGAAACAACTTGACCCAGTCCTCCACCCACAGGCTCAGTCAGCTAGGCAACCCTTCCTGGACCTCTTACTCATAAACTCTTTATTCTGCCAAACATCCTCTTTGTGGTTTCCTAATATCCTGCTTACACTAACACCTGGCTCTCAAACAACCTATTCTACCCCTCCCCATATCCTGCTCTGCCGACTATATAAGCTAGCCTGAGAAAAAAGTAAAGTTTGCCACTTGATCAGAATCCTTTCTTGTGGTTGTTCTTTCTGCTTCTCTTGTCCCCATTCCCTATCCCTGACTCTCTTGCCCCAGGTTGACGTCCTGCAGGTCGGGACAAGGTCTTGTCTTCTCGCACACTCACTGGAAAGATACTTTATCAGGGAAGCAGGTCATATTTGTATCTTGTTTAACAGTTAGCTCATCATGCTGAAATTACCTTTAGGTATTTCAAAATAACAATGCAAAACTGCACTTCATATTTCATTTAAAAATCAGTGACAATAAATATCTCTGAGTTCCATTTAGGTGATGAATTCTATAAAGGAAAATGGTATTTCATTGAAATTGGCTTACTCTAACTCCACATTTAAGGCTAAGCAAAGGCTACAAAGGCCTTGGAATGCCTGTAGCTTACTATAATGCAGAATGTTGTATACTGAAGAGGCTGGAGAAATGGTGCAGTGGTTATGAGCACTGGCTGCTCCCACCCCCAACAGAGGACTAGGATTGAATTCTCAGGACCCACATGGAGGCTCACAACTGTCTGTAACTCCAGTCCCATGAAATCTGTTGCCCTTTTCTGGTCTCCTTGATACCAGGCACACACATGGTGCACAATCATATATGCAAGCAAACACCCCATACACATAAAATAAAAAATTAAAGGATATATGTTTTAAGCTTTCACAGTTATCTTGATTCATTTTTATGCAGTAGACACTATGTATAGGTTTGAGCCACTTCTGTTTCAGCAATCAATATGTTCACTGCTTCTACTCCTCGATACTGGGTTAGCCATGGTAGACAGCCCTATGAGTGGTGGAAGTCATGGATCATTTTCGCAGTGAGTCACTTACCTCCAGAAAGCCGTTCTCTACCTTAGGTGGTTCATTACAGGAAACAGGGTGGCAGGTGGGCAGGGGCCTGCTCCACTGTCCGGTGGCCTCACAGGTGCTCTTCTTCTCTCCTTTGATATAGAATCCCTTGTGACAGCTATACGCTACCATGGCCCCAAAACTGTAGTTTGTTCCACTCGCATAGCCATTCATGATGCTGGGAGGCTCTCCGCACCGCACTGGGATGCACTGGACTGATAGGGGAGAAGGGCTCCACTGTCCCCCTCTCAGGCATTCAATCTTTGCCGACGTGTTCAGCACAAAACCTTCCAAGCACTTGAAGCTCACTACTGAGCCCGTGGCAAATTTTGCTTTGCTCACAGATTCCAGAATACTGTAGGAAACAGATGGAGGTTTTTCACAGAAGTGAGCTATACAGCGTGGCACAGCCTGGCCTTCTGGGGGAACCCATTTTCCCTGGGCATTGCAGATGAGCTGGGAATTGTCAGCCAGGCTGTAACCATCTGCACAGTAGTAGAATGCTGTATCTCCGAAAAGTCGGTGGGCAGTCTCTGGAGAGGCGTGGTCCACATTGGGGGGCTCATCGCAGGAGACAGCCAGGCACTGGTGGTTACTTGAATTCCACTTGCCATTGGCTAGGCATACGATGGTGTCAGAGCCAGCAAGGGTGAAGCTATGGGATGGAGGAGAAAGGAACAACTTAGTGTAGTATTGAGAGTGTAGCATTGTGTCTTCTTTTTTTTCATTTTTTTATCTTTCCAATACTAACTTTGCCTTTATTCTTTGTTTTTTTTAAAATAATATTTAGCATCAGAATATTGAGCTTATTAATCAAATGATTTTAATGGTTGATCAGAAGGGAAATAGAGTTAAGACTTTTGCTATTTAAAGACCTCTAATGACTGTTAGAGGTGTGTGCATGTGCATGTGCATGCTTAGAGAGGTCTGAGGTCATGATCATTTATCAGGAGCCCTGTACCTTTGTTTGTTTGTTTGTTTGTTTGTTTGTTTTCTGGGGCCTGAAGATTGCTGCTTAGGCTAGGCTGGCTGGCCAGTGAGCCCCAGGCCATGCCACTAATACCCACACCAGTTTTTTACATAGGTGTGGGGATCAAACCCAGGTCCTCATTTTAGCAGCTCAGGCCCTAGTTATTTTACATTTTTACAATAAAAACAGGTATAAGCTTTGGTCCTGTTTGACTCAACTCAATATTAGGCCTCCATAGCTTTGATAGCTTTAGTCTGTGGATTTTAATACTCACCTTTCAAAACCCTTTGACGAGCCATGTTTCGCCTAGATACAGCTTATAGTTGCTCACTTTCATTCAGTGAATGTTAAGACAGTGATTAAAATTCTAGGCTCTAGTGTTTTCAAAACCTCTGCCCATATGGTTAGAGTTAAAAAGCTTTGCTCCGTATATGGCTATGCCATGCAGTGAGTATATGGATACATTTTGCCCAATAGCTCCCAGCCTTTCTGTATGTACCAGGTGTTTGCCCATATCTGATGACAGATTTTGATATGCTCCCCAGGGCTATCTCAATAAAGCAGAACAAACCAGTAGGCTGTGCACTATTAGGGAAGCGGTATCCGAGGCATTCTGATTGTCTCTTTCAGTCTCTTAGACAACAGAGTTTTGAAGGGGTATCTAACATCCGATCAGTCTGTCATTTTGATACAAATGATGAGTAAGGAGATGATAATAGCCAGGTACCTAATAGAATCCTTGTTAGACATTGTGACTGGTCCATCTTATCGTCAGCTGAATGGTGAATTAGACAGCCCTGGTCACTTGCCTAAGATCACCCTGCTGTTAGCAGAATATGTGAGGTCTGAATTTGGCTACTAGATTCCAACACTTATATCTTTCCCACAATGCTGCTTTCTCTCTTTTTATCTTTTCAGACTAGTTAGTAAGACTTCTGTGTGTGGGCATGCTGTGGAAACTACACAGAGCTGTCATAGCACAAATTATTTAGCCTAGCTTTCAGCCAAGATTCTTAAGTCCTTAGTAACCAAAACTTTCACTGAGGTCCCTTTTAGTTCTAAAAGGAAATATCTATTAGAGGAAAATTGGGATTCCATCATCCTCACCACAAATATTCATAATATCTATAGGAGATTGGTGGATGAGTCAACAAAAACGACAGACATCAGTAGAACACTATTCATCCACTCTACCTATGGTCATGTACCATGCAACACATGGGAATGTGTCTACATGAATAATACTCTTAGATACTTCCAGTAGCTGAGTAAAATTTCCACTTAGAGCCTTTTCAGTTGGTAGTTTGGGAAAAACCTCAGTTCTTTGTAAGTAGATGTGGACTTAGCAGGTGTTTAGATGGCATCTTTTTTAACAGTTACAGGAAGGCATTCACAGTAGTATGCTTAGAGCATGACTATAATTGAAACCCAACAGGTCTGGCCTGCTGACCTGACTGCCCATGCACAGGACATGTCCTGGGTGGAAGGTCTACTTATTGAGTCTTCTGTTGTTTTACAGCTCAACTTGGATCATTCACACACTTTGAAACATGCGTCATCATAGTCCCCAACCCTTTGATGTGGCTGACACTGCTCACTGGCTGAAGTTCATATGCACAGACCCAGACAACTCTGGTTTATAGGAATCCATTGTATAAAGTATTGCCTTTATTCCCTGACTCCAGATGCTCTGGGGCAGAAGCATCTGTCTCTAGGATCTTCCATATTCCACAGAGCATCTTGAGAACATGAAACAGTGTTGTATAATTTGGCAGCACTTTGTGGAGACTCTGACCCTTAGCCTCCTGATAACTCTCCACCAACTATTTTTTCTTCATGGAAAAATCACAGCAAACTGGCTTTCTGATAGAATGGATAATGACTACTGAGTACAGACCTTTAAAGTATACACATTAAAGAATTCGTTTTTAGAATCTTCAATATTCCCTGGTCTGTATCAAGAACTCTGTTTTTCTTTACATACTTCAATCAACACTTATTTTTTTCATACATGACTCTTCACAGCCAGCTATGGGCCAGTCAATTCCTTGGGGCACAGATGTTGCACTAGTTAAGTACTTGTTTGCAATGGCCAATGGCATGATGTGACAGGCAAAGTCCAACTGTGGGACATTGTAAGACACATATGTGGTCTCTTCCCTGTGCCTAACATGGAGTTCCTGTAATGTCCTAAGTGCCAGCATTCTGGGGCTTTATATCACTAGATAGTGTGCTCAGTGAAGGTGAGCCTAGGTGATAAACAAAGATAAGTATTTTTTAAAATGTCAAAACTTTAAGATGGTTAAGGAGGATATATATTCTAAAGCATACAAAAGGGGAATTACTATAAGCTATAGCTTAATCACTTAAAGAAGAAAACCAAAGCGCTTACAGAATTTAATTCTGTTTGAAGTTTGAAAGTGTATTTGAACTATGGGCACATCCTTTACTCACTTACTTTGTTGAGGGATCGTTCAGAGATGATAAACATTTTCCCGTTGATAGTATATGCCTATAAATGCCTGCTACCAAAGCAAGAAGATGTGAAACTGGGCCAAGTGTAAAGTGTGAGAAACACTTGGAATCAGCATCAACCTAAGTTGAAGGAATACTCACTTAAACTCTTTGTAACCTTTTATATTTTCATTCAAGAGGTCCTGGGGGCAATCTTTTATACTTTTATTAAAAATCAACAACACAAATCATGTTCTAGGTAAAATGGCCCATCAGTATTCCAAAGATGCCATAGGACCCCAGAAATCCACAGGAGTCATTTGGAAACGGACAGAATACTTTTTGGAAGTGATTTTTCAATAGTTGAATTCACACACCTAGAGGAAGCTTACTAGCCAGCATGGGCCCTGGGAGCTTTATGTGAGAGCTCTGACAGCAGCATCAGATTCCCTTCCAAAAGATAAAGGCAAATCATTAAGGGACTGCAGGTTAATGACAATAATAGAAATTGTGAAGAAGCATCAGTATGATTTTGTTTCAATTCATAACAACAATCGAAGATCAAAGCTGCTGCCTTAATAGATCCAATAATTGCATTTAGAAGCTTATATGTCAGAAGAACCAAGGTGGAAACTCAGTGAGGTTTTTATGACATCATTAACCCTTCTATGCCTCTGCGTTTCACACCAATAAATATCAATCTAAGGATGAGAAGAAAAATGACAAACAAATGACCACCTATACATTTGACCAAACAATGAAGCACCTCTCACCTGGCTTTTGGGTGTTGATAAAAATTTATAAAAGATAAATGTTTGGGTAAAAGATAAATTGGGAATGGTGAGTTTGATGAAACACTTGCTTCTTTCCTGGTATTCATTATTCTACTCTGGTCTCTTGAAGTTCTTGCCTCCTCACTGTAAATTTGAGACTGTGTCTTGCTCCCATGATTCAGGGAAAGACTCCATCTAAACCAAACAATAGTCCAGCATCCCTCCATAGCTGAAGAGCTATTGACAGATGCTAAGTGAAGGAGAGACAGATTTCTTTAGGGGTGTGGTCCCTGGTAGGTGGTCCATACGATAGGGGACAGCTCCCTATTCTTTCGTATATGCAGCACAAATTGGACTCAGTGGGTGGCAAAAATAAAAACAAAGCAAAGGCCATGAAGTTGGGAGGAGGGTCTAGGGAGTAGGGGTGGATACTAGAGGAGTTTTGGGGAGAAGTGAAGAAGTGAATATGGTCAAAGGACATTGTATGCATGTCTGAAATTCTCAAAGAACTAATAAAATAACATCCTTAGCCATCAGGGAAATGCAAATCAAAACAATTCTGAGATACCATCTTACTCCTGTCAGAATGGCTAAAATAAAAAACACCAATGACAGTTTATGCTGGAGAGGATGTGGAGAAAGAGGAACACTTTTCCACTGCTGGTGGGAGTGCGAACTTGTACAACCACTTTGGAAATCAGTATGGCGACTCCTCAAGAAAATGGGAATGAGTCTACCACAAGATCCAGCAATTCTACTCCTAGGCAAATACCCAAAAGAAGCACATTCATACAACAAGAATATCTGTTAAAATATGTTCATAGCAGCACTATTTGTAATAGCCAGAAACTGGAAGCATCCTAGATGCCCCTCAACCAAAGAATGGATAGAAAAAAATGTGGTAAATTTACAAAATCTATTCCTCCTCAGCAAAAAAAAAAACAATGGAATCTTGAAATTTGCAGGAAAATGGATGGAACTAGAAGAAACCATTCTGAGTGAGGTAACCCAATCACAAAAAGACAAACATGGTATGTACTCACTCGTATGTGGATTTTAAACATAGAGTAAGGGATTACCAGACTACAATCCACACTGCCAGAGAAACTAGTAAACAAGGAGGACCCTAAAAGAGACAAACTTTGTCCCCTGGAGAAGGAGAAAGGAACACGATCCCCTGAGCAAATTGAGAGCATGGGGAGAGGGCGAAGGGAGCTACAAGAATGAGAAGGGAAGAAGAGGAAGGATGCAGAGGTCATGAGGGAGCAGAAAGGTTGAGTCAGGTATAGCTTTGAAGAAAGGACATGCGATAGGTAGGGTTTTAGTTGGGGTGTGGTAGGGGAGGAGGGGAGGGAGAAGGGAACTGGGATTGTCATGTAATTCAATCGTGTTTGTAACTCAAATAAAAAAAGAAAAAAAGAATAAAAAAATAAAATAAAATATTATATTAAATGACCA